AATCCCAAGGTCAGTTCAGCAAATTTTTGAAGAACTGGAAGCACAGTTCACAGAATACGCCATGAAAGTTTCTTTTCTGGAGATTCATAATGAGGAAATAATAGATCTTCTGGCTCCAGATGAGTGGGAATTCACAAATTATAAGTTGAAGAAACCGATAGCTCTCGTGGAAGATGGAAAAGGAAGCATTATTGTTAGAGGAATGGAAGAGAAGTTAGTTCGTTCTGCTGATGAAATATACAAGATAATGGATAGAGCTAGTGCAAGACGGAACGCCATTGAAACTCTACTAAACCAGCAAAGCAATCGTTCTCACTCCATATTTTCAATCACAGTTCATATAAAAGAGTTTACTCGAGAGGGAGAAGAAGTGATCAAAACTGGAAAGCTCAATCTTGTGGATTTAGCTGGTTCAGTGAATGTTTTGAGATCAGGTTCTGTAGAGGTGCGTGAAAACTGTAAATTTGTGTGTTTTTCAGGAAAAAATATGTGATTTTTATGAGTTTCAGGGTGTGGCAGAAACTGAGAAATGTACCTTGGGGTTATGCTATGCAGGGCAGATCAAGGGAAGCTGGAGGGATAAATAAAAGCTTGCTCACACTTGGGCGTGTTATCAATGCGCTTGTTGAGGAATCCAGCCATATTCCCTACAGGTAAAAGTGAAAATATGTGAAAGTATTTGTCCGCCTTGATGCATTCTGTTCAAATTTGTTGAGAAATTTGCAAAATTTAATTCAATCAGCAAGAGCAAATGAGGATATAAAACATAAGAAGTTCAACAAATGAAACAGAACACACGTAGAATTTTATACATATTCACCCAATTAATGGCTATGATTGTGGAGAATTACATTTAATAACTCTAGCACAATCCTCCCTTTTTATAAGGACACATTAGGAAAGACAAAAATATGAAGGGGCATTTTCATACATACCAGCCAATTCCTATGTATTTACGTATCTCACACCTAACTCTGCCTTTTTCCATTTATATCACAGCACATCAAAAATAACAACATTAAAACTTTAAAAAAGTGAAATGCAAATTTCCATGCATACATAAGGTGGCAATGAATGTAAAAAATAAAAGTATCAGATATGTAAATACACAAGAAATTGAGATGTATTTATGTAAATCTTTCAAATATAAAATCTACAACTTAACAGATTCTAATTTCTATTTTTGAGTTCGTCAGAGATAGCAAGTTGACAAGATTGTTGAGGGATTCTTTGGGAGGAAAAACTAAGGCTTGCATTATTGCGACAATATCGCCTTCGATTCACTGTCTGGAAGAGACACTTAGCACATTAGAATATGCTCAACGTGCAAGAAATATCAAGAATAAACCAGAGGTTTGTTATGTCATGGAAATTTTTTAATTTACAGTGTTGGTGAATTATCTTCTTTGTGTGTGTTCACATGCTTGACCCGGTTATGCAATTGCAATTTTGCAGATTAATAAAAAAATTATGAAATCTGTAATGACGAAGGATTTATACCGTGAGATTGATCGTCTCAGAAAAGGTCTGTGAAATTGAAATCTTCTCTCTTGTACAATCACTCGATTAGTTTAAGTTTAAAATAATCTTGTCTTAACCATTAATAAAACGGGCAATTACATGCATGCCACTCAATTCCTATGAATTTACATATCTAACACCAAATCTTTGATTTTTACATTTAGAACGCCCAAAATTTTTATATTGCATAAAAAATGCCACTACTAAAAAGTGGAATATAACTTTTCATGCTTAGGTCAAGTGACATGTAAAAATTAAATTTTTGATGTTAGACATGTTAATACATAAGAATTGAGTGGTATGTAAGTAAATCTTCCTTGAAAAATACCTAAAGCAAGAAAGGAGAATTGCGGCTAAGTTGCCTCCATTGTGACTCAAGGGAATGATTTAGTGAGTCAAAAATATAGGTGGATTCACAAATCCTAAGCTCTCAAGCCTGATCCTCTGCAAGTAAAATACAAATTTGATAAGGTTCAAAGATTTAAGGTAAAGAGCTAAAAGGAAGACAAAGAGAATGCAAAGGCATGTTTACAACAATCTTAGAGAGACAACTAAAAGCATCTGAGTCAGTCTAAATTTTAAGAACATTAGAGCAGCATCACAACAAAAAATAGAAGAAGCATTGATACGATCCAACGTCAAAATCAACACGATTCTGCACAGAAATTCCAGCAAAATAGATTTTTTATTTCAATAATTGAAATAACTCGATGAAAATACAAAGATAAGCACCTATAATTCAAGAGATATGCGATCTCTCCCAATTCCTACAATTTAAGTGGTAGAAAATCTCTCCCAAAACCTAAACCAAAGACTCACAACTCAATCTCATCACAACAACAACAACAACAACAAAGCCTTAATTCCATTACGTGGGGTCGGCTACATAAATCATTTTTCTTCATTGCGTCCTATCACAACTCAATCTCTTGCATAAGAAAAATCCTAAACATAATAAGTCTATTTATCCTAAACAATAATAACAATAAAATACTAAATTGCTCTTAGGCATACAAAAAATAAATTTGCTCTTATGCTGGGCGCCCTTGTAGCAATACTCCCCCTCAAAAGAGACATTGTCCTCAAGGTGAGAAAAAATAAAACTGTTGCGCGATCAAGTCAGGTGGTTTCCCATTTACGTTGTTATCTGACAATCTTTTCCATTTAATCAGGTATTCACAGTGACCAAAAGAAGTTTGAAATGTAGTCATGTGCACATCCTTTGGCCGCATCTAAATCGATTGGTGGCCTGATTTCCAATCAATCTTAGAAAATATCACAACCTCAAATAACTTATACAGTGGCTTACCGATCACCAGAATATCTGTCAACTCCATCTCACGTGCCTCTTCCATTTCTGTCAACTTTGATCCAACTTGCTTTTATTTGTCCAAGCCATCTGAATGTCGTATTATTTCTTCAAAGTGTTGTAGCTTGAGTCCGCTCCGGTTTTTTTGCTTGATACCACAGCTCCCGATTCACCCAAAGATGTGATGTTGCTCACATGTCGTGCAAATCCTTTCGGTTGTTATTGTTAAAGTCCATTCCCGATATCATCTCTCAACCCTGTGGCGGGCAGAGTCGGTTTTGTGTGAAACTCAATTAACTTCTTCATCATTTCTTGCATTTCTTTTATACTCTCGAATCTGTCCTCCATTCGACTCTTTATGGAAGAAACACTATTTTCTATGGTGAAGAACCTTTCTTCCATCTCAGATTTGAGTTGCCCCACTTCTTCCTCCAATTTCTTCTTTAAATCATCTACTTTCTTTACTGGCATTGCTTCTTGTAGGGTTTCAAAACTTATGATTCTGTGGTTGCCTTCCCAGCTAGCTTGAATCCCAAGAAGAATGGCAAAATTTTGTTGTCGGCTTCCCAAAGAACGAGAA